GTCTCACCTTATACACCTGAATAACACCTGCTGGTACTTCGCGTTTCTGGACGTATTCTCCTGTGAGAGATAATATTCAATTGCTTTTCGCCATCAGGGACATTGCGTCGGACACATGAGTTCAATGAATCAAACATTATACGAAGTAGGTCGTCTAAAGAATACATAATTTCATGGTAGAAATATTTCCAAATCAAATAATAAAAAAATTACCACGAATAATGAGTACTGAGTATAGGAATTTTAAATAAATCCCAGAACTTATATAAATTGGATAAGGATTCGGGTGAAGACTTGGTTAATGATATCATCATTATAACCCTTGGTAGGATTTCTTCATGCTGTGACCAAAACCGAGAAGGTATATTGACCAATCGGTAGCGAGTATACACTGGTGTTGTGGAATGAATTTGACCTGTCGGATGCAGCGTATAGTAGTCTTATCATTCCCTAGCGTTGTTCATGTTGCTATGATATGATTAACATATTGTATTTTATATATTGCATATGTTAAATCTCTATAATATACATATAGTATAATGTTTAGAGTATATAATATAGGCCTATATGATGCGCTTATAAAAATAATATTAGCACAAATACTCATATGGAAAGGATAAGAAATCTACTGAACGTTAAAAGCAAAAGCTGCGAGTGTTGCCCCAATTAGATTTCGAACTAACTTGGGAATCTGTAATTGACTGTGCAGACTCCTTTCGATGGATTTCAGTTTCGATGGAAATATAAGTCCGGTTAGAATCATGAGAATTATTATACTCTTGCACATTTGTGGAACTAGTACTAGTCGATGCCTTAAAAATGACAGGGATCAATATGATACGAATTCATCTTAAGCATTTTAAATGACAAACAGGATCTCCGAAAAGATACATTTTATAAAAAGAAAAAAAAAAAATACTCATGATACAATAATAACTGTAAACAGTCTTGCAGTTATGACATAATCATGTAAAACGGCCTACATTTTTTAAAGAAGTGGAATCTGAAAGCGTTAAAAAAAACCTTCTGCTGTTGATGCAGACGCTTTATCAAATTTTGCAATTGGGGCTTCGTTGGGAGTTCAAATCCAAATTTCACACTCTTTCACATGCATGAACAACGCTAGTTTTTGATAAATCGCATGTAACAGGGATCTACGTGTTTGCCTATATTATACAGGGCTATATATACAGTAATTTAATAAATATAGACAGGCCTACATATACAGTAATTTAATAAATATAATATATATATATAATTATATATATAATATATATATAGTATATATATAGTATATATATGTATAGACCTAAATAAATGTGTATATGCATATATAATATAAATAGTATATATATGTATATAAATGTATATATATGTATGTATATAAAAGTATTATTCAGTTGTATAATGTGTCTACATTTATCGTTGTTATTAATTAGCATTGAATACCATGTGTGTCAGCCTGAATATACGAGTGTTGAAACATTAAGGTCATACGGAGCGCGAGTAGAAAAGAGAGAAAAAATATGTTACGTTTTTTGTGCATGAAGGCATTTTCCAATTACTACCATGTTGTGAGTTAATGCTTTAATCTTTACCAACACCAATTGATGATATTTGATGTGCGCACAGTGCTCCAGGGCTGAAGGTGCAATATGTAATGCCGATTGGTCACGTGATGTAACGTTCCCGTGGTACCCAATTTTGACAGCCAGCTGTTGCTCAAGCGAATCCATTATGTCACCACAGTTCCAAACTTTACCTCGTTAATTATCTTATTAATAATATTAGATGTATATATATTTATAAAATATTATAGAATTCCCTCGGTGAATTATAACCACTGAGTTCTCAATTTACATAGTAAAAAAGATATCCAGGATTTAATATTTTATGTTTAAAAATGTTTTGAACCAATAGAAACGAGGTAAATATCCGAAATGTCCGTTAATTTAACCAAAGCCAGAGCTCAAAACATTAAATTCGTAATAAAAGCAAACTTTCCCTATGAATGAAATGGAATAAACCACTGTTAAAATACATAGACTATTCAAAATCATGCTATGTCCATAATTTCATTATAAATAGCATCAACGCAATGAACGTTTGCTAAGTCGTTTGTCTCTGGTCGACAACTCTCTAAAGCGCGGACTAAAAACTTCATCACGCATAAATAAGTGATTAAGTTCTGATACGTCTCTGAGATACATTAAAAGAACGCAAGAAAATGTTCAACTCCAGTCGTGAAGTTTAGGCGGATAATAAAACAGGTAAGTCGGCGTATTATTCTTTCAACAGAAAAGAAAAAAACCGGACAGTTTATTTCTGCAGTTACACGTAAACGTTTTTAAATTTTGATGACCGTCTTATATCTAATATGATAATAACTATATAACTATAACTAATGATCGAGTGATACGAATGTAGCCCACAATAGCTCTGTCGGTGGGGTAACCGTGTGCGCTAATCTGTGGAGATTGTTGGTCCATGGTTCAATTCCCATCCTTGATTTCATGCGTTTTTGTGTTTCAGCTTGGGGCTAAAATGCAAGATTTAATAGCGTACCGTCTTTCGAAAGAGACGCTTAAGGCTTTGGTCCCGTGTGCAATATTGCCTATGTGCACTTGGAAAAAAAGTATTATCTCTCGATATTCTGCCCAATCACAACAATTTTTTACTGCTTCCCAATAATAGGGTTGATGATATTGCAAGCAATAAAAATAGGCTCTTGATAGGGGCATGTGTATACTGCAGAACTCGATCAAAATTACCCCTGTTGGTGCTACCAGCCATTGGTCATCTGTCAACGCACTGTACTTGGCGTGCCTGTCAAATGCAATGAGCTGAAGTGAACCTTGACACATTCCAATTTACACAGGAATTTCACTTCCACACCATAGAATATATTTGCGCAATCGCAGTATACCATAAAAATCATAGAGTTCAGTAGACGTTAATTCATGCATAGTCGTTATTAGCTTAGCGAGAAATATTATTCCATTATGTAACCGGCTTCGTCATCACGAGTTAATAAAAGAGTTTAATTTTGACGAACAGGCGCTATATCTGACATAATGAATTATGATATCTGGTGACAGAATGATTGATGTGAGGGCGTGGTTTAGTGTACATACTTCAGAATCGTGTATAAATAACCATCATAAATTTCCAGGAAGTAAATGTTGAAAACTATTAGAAAAAAAAAACCGTGTAGGAATATTTTTAAATAATTTATTACCGTACATTACCAAACCATTAAAATCATTATTTTGTCTCACATAAAAATATTAGATATGTACTTTTAATCAATCAATCAGTAAAATCTAAAAAAAAAAAAACACTTATGCACTATATACACGTGTAATTATTATTCAATTCAATTCAAAAATAATTATCTTTCTTTATATTTTTCCACTTGATATATAACATACAAATAAACACAGCATAATAGTCAAACGACCACTCATGATTGCAGAGCCAAACCAAGGCAATATACACAGCCCAGGTGTGAATGCAAATAGTGGAACACAAGCTATGCGGCTCGGTTCCAGTAGATACAGAGAATATTTTGTCATTCTTAACGCGTCCTATGAAATTCTTACAGACAACACTAGTCCGTGAATTTGTGAACAACATCGGAGATCTAAAGATACAATCACTACCGTGCATCAATGGCGGCCCGCTGGATCTCAATAGGGGTTCTTTAATAATATTGTATTATAAATTTAAATAGGCGTAGTATGGGAAAAACCCATAAAACAGCAAACGGCCACATAATGCAAAACAATATAAAATTAAAACGGAACAGTAGAGAAAATCCGATCAGAATGACAAAATAAACTAAGCATCCACTGGAA